CAGTGGCAGCTCTTCTTTTCGGGGCTGATTCATAAACGAGAAGAAGACTGCTTCTTTACTGCTGCAGCTGCTACTGCTGCTGTGCTTATTCCCAGACTTGGGGGGGTTGTTTTATGCGTGGCCGGATTCTTGCAGCGGCAGCAGCAGCAACAGCTACAACAACAAGAGGCTCGGCAGAGCCAGCAGAGGCAGCAGCAAGCCTTCAACATGCAGCCGGGCAAACCTGAGGAGCACACTGCAGAGGGGCAGCAGCAGCACCAGCAGCAACAGCAGCGGCAAGAGCCCCAATGCATGAAGCAGGAGGAGAGCAATCGCAGTTGGCGCCAGGACCCGGTAGCCAGCGGTGAGGGCGGCCCGGAGATCGCGGGTTGCTTCTGCTGCTGCTGCTGCTGCTGCCGACAGCGGCGCAGCAGCAGCAGCAGCAGCAGCAGCAAAGTGCTGCTGGACGTGGGGGGTCGCCTGTTCGCCACGACCTGCTCCACCCTTTGCAACTTCGGGCCCCACTACCTCTCGCAGCAGCTGGCTGCCAGGGGGGCCCCCGAGGGCCCCCAAGAAATATTTGTTGATAGAAATGGGGACGTTTTTTCCTATATTTTGGACTTTCTTAGAAATGGTTTGCTTCACTGCAGCAATGAGCCTTGGCTGCTGCAGCAGCTGCTGCTCGAGGCCCGCTTCTTCAGCATCCGGCCGCTCGAGAAGGTCATTGAGGAGCGCCTACACAGCGCTGCTGCTGCTGCTGCTGCTGCTGCAGCAGGAGGCAGGGGCTGGGAAAGGTGGGGCAGAGGCTGCTGCTGCTGCTCTGTGCTGCTGATTTGCGGCTGCTGCCTGCTCTGCTCTTTGCGATGAGCTTCCTTTGTTGCTGCTGACACACCCAGGCTCGCGCCTTAATGGTGCTGCTGTTGTGCTGCTGCTGCTGCTGCTCTGCTCCAGCAGGAAGGCAAAGGTTCGGCTCGCCGCAGTCCACAGGGCAGCGAAGGCGCAGCAGCAGCTGCAGCGTGGGCACTGCTGCAACAGCGCAGCAGCAAAGAGCGACGTAAGGACGCAGTTCTGCTGCTGCCTCGCTCCTTGCTGCTGCTGCATCAGTTTACGCTTTGCTGCTTCTTCCGCCATTCTCTGCATGGGCTTGTCTCCTGTGTGCTGCTGCTGCTGCTGCTGTTGCTGTTGGTGATGCAGGATCTGGAGAACAGCCGCAGCAGCGAAGGCGTCACAGCCTCCTCAAGCAGCGAGGGCGGCGGCAGCAGCAGCGAGGAGGAGCAGTCACCTGCAGCAGCTGCCGCAGCAGCAGCTGCTGCAGCAGCAGCAGCAGCAGG